TGCGTTCTCATATATTTTATTTTATAACAGCGGACGAGTCGTAGGTAACAGCTAATAAACAATAAATAAACTACATGATTTGAACAAAATAGAGTTGTACCGGTGGTACAGTGGTTGGATGAATTCAAGAAGTTACCCCATTATTTGCATACACCAAAGCGAATGTGAATAAACAGCGGCGGAATGCGTGACTGGAATGAATAGCTACATAATATTCACGATGTACGAGACTCGCCTCTCGCAAAGTTTTTGTACGCTCAAAAAATTACTTATATTTTATTCAATACAAAACGGTGGCCCCTCTGTTTGGGCCACAATAATGTAAAAATTGTTACTAGAAAATATACATATTCTGACATATGATTTAACAAGTTACAAATTACAATTCTTAGCAAGAAAAAAATGTAGAATGAGTTCAATTTTATAATCAGTTACTTACTGCAAATAGAATTGTCTCCTAAGTAACATTAATAAATTTCTTTAAATATCCTTTCCTTTATGACTTTAACCAAGCATCATTTTATAATAAATATTACCTTTAGTAGTATAATAATACTAAGAAAGTATATAAGCACGCATTATTAGAAGAAAAATTTTGGCATCTCGAGTGTGACATTCAACCTAACACCGACACATTAATGCCTTATGGTGTAAATCCTAACCACGACAATTCCACCAGTATATTATATATAAGTATATAATATATATATAGTTACTTATATACACTTATATACACTTATATATACTCGTATACACTAAGTACGTAATATTTTGTAGCTGGTCGCTTTACCAAGATGTGTCGTAAGACTGAAACCGTGGTTGGACCACTGAGTATTATCGCTCCTGCCTGACCCATTCATTATTCAGTTGCGAATGCCGATCGGAGCAAACGAGCCGACCTATTCGCATATTCCATTCATTCGCTCCTTACCAATTCACTCTTTAACACCTTCTTACAGCTCGCTTCATGACCTGAATAAAATAACAGATAAACCTTATGAAAAAAGATTTGAAATCTCATCAAACCATATTATAACAACAGCTAAATGTAAATAATGAAAATTTATAGAAATTATAAAGCACCATCAATGGATCATTCGACTACAAAAATTGTTATTTATTTTTTAACTATTACGTTTCTTCGCTGGTATGTATGAAACTTTGTGTAGAGTAGACGTGTTGTATAATACATTACTTCTATTTAATAAACTCTAATTACTTTGGTAATTATTGATATTTTTTAATGTTAGTATTCTAGATATATTTGTTTAAATATCTTTTAGACCCGGGTATTTTACTACAACTAAACGATTTACAAAAACGCATTAAGAGAATGTTCGCACGTGTTTTGAACTTATCTATCCCTATTGAATGCTATTTTTCTCCTCTATGTCTTTGCAATATAAGTAGTACGTAAATAGGCTGATAGTTTAATTTCTAAAACATGATAGAATAACTACATGATCGTTCCTTTATGCGAGAGGATGAATATGAATACCTACTTTGTAAAAGTTTAACATGTCACTAATGAAATGTGCAGAAATCTTAGTAATAGGTATGGAGTACTCATTAATTTCTTTAAGCAATTCAATCTACAGACTACAGTAATTAGTTTCGCCACAAATCCCCGAGTCATGGCTTACTATATGAAAAAGGTTAGGCGCTGTAGCTTTCAGAATTGGTCAACTAAGGCCGGAGGAGAATTTTTAAACTGCCCTGCGGTCACCGGCGATGCGACGTGACGCGAATCACGGCAACCCTCGTCTTGCTATCTACCCACTGAACATTTATAAGAAACATGCTTGTAATTTTTACAGGAAATTGAACCTCCCGCATCGCTGACCTATTTATTTTGTGGACATGCTAGGGTTTTCTTTCGGAGATAAGGTTTCCATATTGATATCGAACACGACTGATGAAAACTTCATATTCCCCGGGGCGTCTTCTCCTTTATTTCTCAAAGTTATAAAAAGTAATGAGGTATTTTATGTCTATAGCTACTGCTTTCTATTGTTCGAAGTTTTCCAACCAAGACGGGCTTCTCAAATTGAAATTTGTGTTTAAGAGTCCGGAATAAAAATAATATCTGCACATATACGAATATTACAATGTATCTGTAATATTGTTTTATGTTTTAAATGCAACTTCTTCCATATAATGCTTGTAAAATTGTACCTAGTAAGTTCATTTTAACAACTTTAATAATAATATTCTAATACGTTAATACTCAAATTGTAATAGGAAAAATGCTTCGCATTTTGATGTAATTGGCATAAGGTATAATGTTTTCGTTATGTCAAATATTCACACAGGGATATCTAAACTCAAACCAAACAAAGCTTGTACTATAAGGCTCTAATAGTAATACTTAAACATACTTTTTTGTAAATACATTCATAACTTGTATCCAATATGTATATACTAGAACGGCAATGCAAAGATACTCAAAACAGTATAAACAATAATAACACATGAATACAATTGTTAGAATCTTGTTGGGAACCTGAGACTATAAGAAGTAAGGCAGTACATTAAAGCACTAGACCACCGATGCCGTCAAATGCATTTATTTGTTTCTAAAACATGAAATTCGTAAATTTAATAATAATCCTACCTTATCAAAATAGCGATGGATATGGTGGATTAGCCATTAAGTTTAGATTCAGCATAAATGCAGTGTGACACAAGTATCATATGCTTTAGAAATCTATCAAAATTTTATTTCTCGCAATATCTTTATATAACGAGTGAAAAAAGATAGAAATACTTTATCCACAATCTTTATAACACTTAATTCTAAATATTTTTGTCATTATTTACTAATAGTAAAATTAATGAAATACGGACCTTATCGCGTTTTATTCGTATTATTACGGTCACAAAATTCGGGCAGTATTGCAACTGTTATTATGTCAGATAAATGGAAGAAAAGTGGATGTTAATTAATATAATATCATTCACCTTCGTTTTGACTGATCCCAATACATTACACCTAAGTCAATTCAATATTATTTAATAGCATATGTAGTTGATCATTTTATTATATAAACAAGAAGAACTAATTGTGACTTCACACCCCTTTTTCAAAGTCGGCCGATGGAACCTTTATCACTTTGTCGTGATTACTTTTATAGTATCACGCATTTTACCATTACCTGAGATAGGAAGAAATCAACAATTATATTTGAAGTTATGCCGAAACATTAAATCCTGAATTCAGTACTAACACAAACACAAAACGTTCATAAACTTCATTCAAGTTTCATTAACAAAATCATTATTATAGTACTATATAAACAAAATTGTATAAATATTATTATCATATAATATTCGTCATATCGTTCAAAAGATGAACACATGTGACATCCGATAACCTATTTAAGAATCATTTTTATTTTAAGATGGTAAATTCTTAACTGTCATTGTAAAATATATTTTAAAAGCGATTCCTACAATACAGTTAAAACTGATTATTTAAACTAGCAGAAATAGAAAATCACAAGGGGTGTTCTTGTTAAACACATTTGATTACTAGCCTAAACCAATGGCTTAGTCTGTTTTATTTTTAAATAAAAAATAAGCTTATTTCATTACACACTTTATCTTCAAGTCAAAACTTATTAAGAACCGTTCTGTCGTATATCTATCGTAAAGAGATATTTTCGCATTAATAATCTTAGTGTGGAAATGGTTTTCGTGTCTAAAATAGGTGAGACTGAGGTACCCATGCAGACAATTTTTACAGTAAAATTGATATGCTTCTTGGTATATGAAGTGGACTCATATACTAAGAAATACACCAATTTTAATTAAATGTTCGGTGTAATAATTATGTATATCGTAACAACCTTATAATTAAAAACTGATATTAAGGACGCCCATTTCCGTGTAAAAATATAAATTCATCGTTCACAATTCAAAGACTCATTAAATTATCCCCATTTAAAAATAGGTATGTAATATTTCTTATATTTGTAACACAAATTGCTATAAAATGTACAACATTGCACAATGTCATAGATAAGGGCAAAATACTAATGTATAAATCCGATTCATATTATGCGGAACACCTGACACCTCATATATAACTTAAAGGCAACATCTCGGAATATAAAATTATAATCACGCCTCAGAATGCATAAAAAAAGGGTTGGACTCATGACACGCGTGGGTTGACACTCTCACACACATAATCTCTAGATCCTCGGTAACCGTTACCATCGGGACTCCCGCAAAGAGACCCCTTCACAGACATTTGCCAAAGACATACGACGTCCTCATAAATTTTCACGCAAGTTTGGACCTTACGTTTCAGAAAACCCGATGTTAGAATATTTTAGGCTAACGAGTATGTTTTTGGAATGCAAAGCAGACCTTTACACATTAAAAATGAACCAGCTTGCAGACCAGTTCTGGAAGTTGTGGTTACACCCGTATTCATCTATATTTATTATAAGGAACTATACAACATATTAAGAAGTAGGCAACTTTTAGGCAATGCATATTTTTATTAAAAAGTGTTTACTTAGTTTGTTTGTAGTTTTTCTTATAATCCATATACTTCAGTTAGTACCGTGTCAGTACCCTTTCACGGCTAAATGGCTGAACGGTTTTTAATTAAATTTAATATGATGATAAATTGTATCACTGAGTAGTCTATCTTTTATATACAAAAAAGCAAACGAATCGCGGATAACAGCTGGCGTATGCAGTATAGTTCCTTTTTCCTGAAATTAAACCACTACTTATTATAGTAAATACATTAAACAATGACATAAATATAGTTTTTATGATGGTCACAAAAGCTTTGAATTACATTAATTTCAAACAATCACTGTAAGTAACTTCCCGAATGTGTTGCTGGGGATAACAAGTTCTTGTAGATGAAATACGTCCCGAGAATTGCGTGTTAATAATACAGGCGGTGCATTCGACAAGCTTATAATATACCCAGACTACAATAAGTATACGCTCCACCCCTATCACCACAGATTCCTTACCGTTTGTCATAAATTTTATCACTCCAATGAGCGGACGCAAACGAAGACCTTTTTCGGATTCTCTCCTTCGTCGAATTAACGACCCGTGAACTCGTGACCGAGCCTCCGAGTGTCTTTTTTCAGTCACAAACACGATCACTTTAGAAAAAAATCATACACTTAAACGTATTTTAGAAATATTAACACAACACATATTTCATTTAAATAAATACACCCTCACCTTTTTATTTTTGAAATCTTCAAAAAATATTTAATTATATTTATTATCAATGTCTATTCAAATAAAGTTATCACTCTATATAAATTTAATGTCAAAGCTTTAGGAAAAATATATCAAATAACTTTCTTACAGTTTAAGTGAACAACTCTAAAGCAATTCCTGTGAGGGGGGCGGTTTGAGGTTTCGAATGTTGTCGTGTGTTCAATGTCAAACAGTGCGAATTGGATACGCAAGGACTTCGTCGGCAGTCGCTCGCCAGGCGGCCGGCTGCGGACTGCGCGGGTGCTACAGAGTGTGGCCGCGAGGCCTGCCGACGCCGCCCGCGCCCGCCGTTTCGACGCACGCGCCCCAAGGAGATCGATACACCCCGCCCAAACCACTATTGCGCCCATCGGGGACCAGCTGGCCCACACACGCACACATATGCACAGTATCATTATACTCTCGCATCCAACTTCTGTTAGTTCTTGTCGAGCCTTAATATTTTTAAGTTTCCTTTGAAAAGAGCCGCTAAGAAAACTAAACTTGCTTCGCGGTCAGTTTGGATCAGGCACGATCTTTATTTAGTAGCTAAATATGAGAATATTATAATTCTTTAATTTAGTTTACGCACAATATAGAGATGGTGAGAAAATAAATTAGTCGTCTTAGTTATAACCTGTATGAAGTAGATAATGTCCACAAGCGCGCATCTTGAAGTAACTCTATGAGTTGGTACGGCACGATAACTGCGACTCAGTGGCGACATTTCTTTCAAATCATGCCGCTATAAACACTTCTATGGAATAATGTTAATAGATGTATTTTAGGTACCTCTGATGTTAAGAAATACCAATATTCCCAATATACTTCGATCCCAAGCATTACGATTCAATACTTACTATAAAAGCAATTGAATAAAATATCCCCGGAGACTTTTCTTTGCAATGTCAGTTCACACGTTTAAGATAAATTACTCAGAGCGTGTACAGTAGATGTACAGTATTTTCCTAAAAAAGTTAGTTAAGTGTATAAGGCATATGTATATAAAAATATATAAGATATCGATATTATCTATTTATGTACGAATACTTTCTTGGATACAGTTTAGCATAAATATTATCGGATACAAAAGGCCTCTCCCAGGAGATCACGATTGTGTTATTATCTCTTATCACGCTACGATTATAACGAGACTTTCTCTCGACTTTTATTTGAATGAAAACAAGAAGTAATAGGTACAAATAGAAATTAAAACGAGTGGGGTGGCAACGGTCCATTCATGTCGTCGAAGGAAGAAAGTTCTACACAAAAGGCAATCCAAATTTATGGGATGCTCGGTAAGACCGATAACTGTTTCTTCTACTGCCCACATCTAAGGTTTAGATATAGACTAAAAAATGCATGGGTACAGCTACAATTCACAAGCAGTGGTTTCTTTTTATGTTTTCTCGAGTTGGAAAAATAAAAACCGATCGGGGGAACGTTCGATGTGCATAATTAAGGTCCGCACACATTGAATCATTAATGTTTGGGTAATAAATTTCTATTGAAGCTGTATTCATACATACTTTTAGACGTCATGAGAAGTTGGGCTATTTATAATATATTACAATTTTCTGGGTTTCATTCACAAACATGTCGATACTAAAATGTAGTAATGATATAAATGAACCTAAATGCTGCCAAAATGTAGGTATTTTCTAATGAACTATATATGTATTTAAATATAAAGACACGGTAAAGGGACGACAACGAATAATGTCGCATTGTTACAATGACATTAAGAAAAAAAATTTTTCGAAACTTAATTTAAGCACTTTTTTTTTGACTATTCATAAGTGCTTAAATTAAGTTTATTTGAATAAATGATTTTCTATTCTATTCTATTCGTTGGAATAGCAAACAAGCTGGCGGCTCTCCAGATGGTAAGTGGTAATCGTCCCATATATGGTATACGAACAGCACCACGAACATCATATCATCATAGTATCTATGATACCCCTAATGTACTGTTATTCTGTAGAGCTAAAATATCATTCCTCTGTACCCTGTTATTCCGTGCCCTTCAGTCGAAACACATCTTATAAAGCAAGCTTATTGGCGGCCAAAATACATAATTCAGAGGTATCCACGGAATACTTTGCACATAGTCTGGTTAGGTAAAGAAGTTTTTAAATTCCAAGTAAAACAAATAGATTTATAAGTATTTTATTTGACAAGATCCTTTGACGAGATTTACTTTTCATTCAAATAAGTCTTCAATTGACAAATTAGAAATATAAATAGAATTTTTTTCTTTTTCTTTTTATGAGGTTTGGAATTCTACTGTTTTCTAGAAACGAACTTCTTCCCATTCCATGGATTAACCATGCTGATGCAGAATCCATCGTGTCGTAGAGAGTGAAACTCTGAGCAGTTACCAAGACTTGTGAACCGGGTATATGTATAGCCGCTTTGATTTAGCTACGCATTGTAGTATAGAATTTACTGCAGTTGTAGACAGGTGATGGAAATACAAAAAAATGTAATATTTGAAAGAATTTGTCCTACAGGTATGAAACTAATATGCTAAATCCTCCTCCAAGCCTCCAAGCTCCTAATTGGACAAATTATTTACTATTTAAACATAATAACGTGTTTCAAAATTCGTTTTTGTATTAAAAAGGTTGTATACTAGAAACTCATGTCTAAAAAGGACATATCAACAACTGAATTGAACGTTTCCGAACAGTTTTATTTATGTAACTTCGCATCTGCTGTTGAGTAGAACGTTGTATAATATAGGTACATCTTGAAATTAGAAATGTAAAATAATTAATCTTTTTAAAAAAGATCACACACTAAATCGATACCTATTATTTGTATATTTATTTATACATTGCGGATTTAAAAAAAAAAATTATCGTAATCGTTACTTATATAAAAAACATGATCCTAAACCATTAATTTAAAAAGTCAATGAATAAATATTCTCATACTAATTTAATTAATATTAAACAATATATTTTTAAGGATCTGTCGTTACGTATGTTATAGAAAACTTAATAAACAAATAAATCTGTCAAATGTAATTTTATCCACTAAACGGGTATAGGTATTGATAAATATATATATTATAAGATAAGTTAATAAGTACTTGATTACCACTTATCCAGTAATAACATCAAAAGTAGATGAAATGAAAACTATTATTCCTCACAAAAACCGTTGAGTCAAAAATATTCCATGCACTTTGATGCATGCATGAACTTATAAAAGAAATCTACTTTACTCTCTATAATTATTACTTTTTAATACGAAAACTTAAAAAATGCGGTATTTTTTTCGACATAGATAATTAATTAATTTAAACCAGTCTACCGTATATGCTTTAAAATATTATTTTTTATAGAATTTGTAATAAAAAAATAAACTGTGCTGACAAATTGGTATTGTTTTCAGTAAATCCGTGGCACCTGTAGGCTAATCGAAATTCACATTAATGCAAAAATAATGACGAACAAAAGAAATACGAGTGTCATGGGAGAAATTTTTCATACGAATAAACACAGCACCTGTTACCTGCTGAATTCGGAATGTGAGGAACAGAGTACCACTTGTCATTTAATTTAGGCATAACTCGTGAAGTGTTGAATCATGTGAAGATATGCGACTAAAGTAAACAAATATTACCAGGGTTTTGCTTAAATAATTAAAAGGTTATTGTAGCGAAAAATAAGTACTGTGTTAAAATAAATAATTTCTGTATAATGTAAAATTATTGAATGAATTGACATTGTATGCCTCACAGAACATTGTTTAAAACAGTCCAACATGTTATTTCAGTTACCAAATTATGAAATATGGAGTACATTTACACGGCAAATTTCAATTAAAGGGGTTTCAATTATTTTATTAAAAAATAACATTAAAGGGAAAGAACGTAAAGATATTGTAGCACTTTCAAATGAATGAATTATCATGTATAGAACTAGAGAAACACAGAATTATATATGTGTATAGGTCTCCTAACTCAGACTATGAAAAATTTGAGTCTATTTTTATTACTTAATCTAGAACATTACGGAATTAGGGAAAAGTCCTCAGAACTCATTGGATCTTATCTGCGCGATAGAATTCAAGTAGTAGACATTAAAGGAAGCAAGTCTAAGGTGTCATATATAAAAATGGGTGTACCCCAGGTTTCTGTCCTTGGCCCATTTCTTTTTCTTGTTTACATAAACGACTTACCATACCAGTTTCAAAACATATTTGACATAGTATTGTTTGCACATCACTTATTTTCAAAGTGAAAAGAAATACAAAGGATTTTAGTGCTATAAGTAATGCTCTTGAGGATGTTCTTAACTGGTTTACATCAAATAATCTAGCGCTTAATTCAATGAAAAGAAAATATGTTAAATTCTCTTTACCAAATGTAAAACAAGTAAGTAAGTAAGTGACAAATGTTAGTTTGAATAATCATGTTTTAGACTTTGTTGATGAGACTTCTTTTCTTGGTATTTTAATAGATAATAAATTGCAGTAGGGACCACATATATTCACACTGGCCAATAGACTTAGCTCGGCTGCTTTTGCTATCAAGAAAGTTAGACAGTTAACTGATACTGCAACAGCGAAACTAGTGTATTTTAGTTACTTCCATAGTATAATGTCGTATGGTATTATATTGTGGGGAAGGGCGGCTGATGTAGAATCAATTTCTATATTACAAAAAAGAGAATCAGAATTCAACCCATTCAAATATTCTAATGAAATTTTAACACATAATAGGTACAAAGTATTTATGTTTATAAATAATATCGATATAAAGTTAATTTTTCCGTTTACATTTTCATGAAAATGAAATATTTCTACTATATAAATTGAAAGGGATATTAATTATAGAAGATTTTACAATTACATATGGATATTTCTAAATTATTAAAATTTATATCAGACTGCAGAAATACTTTATTTATCAACTGATTTTAAACACACACACGATTGAATTATTACACGATATAAAATAAATTGTTTAGTAACCAAATTCTATTTAACATCCTATTCTATTAATATTAATCCAATATTCATGAATATACCTGCTTATGCCCGCATTAGTGGCTTTATTACACTAGCCTGATGCTTATAAATCACTATATAATTGCTAAACTAGGTAATAACATTGAAAGTAAAACCACTGCCATAAAATACTTGAACTTACTCGTATTTAAGATCTTACATACGTATTATGTTAG